CACGTTTTGTGGGTCTTTGATACCGAAAAGTCGATTGATGATAAATTGTATGTGTGTGGGTCCGTGAATTCATTGATCAATTAGTGATTACGGTAGCGTCAATTGCTAAGGTCATTAGTCCCGAATCTGTAGTGCATGTTTTATCGCGGGAGGTGGCGGAGATCTTCACCCGCTAGATTCGGGCCGACCTACCCGGCGGCTTGCGGATTTTTCCCCAACCAGGTATCTCCCACCGGCGGGGCACCGCCCCAGCCGGAACAAGCTCCAAGCTCCCGACTGATCTCCCGGTTTGTGTGGTAGTGTAGTACGTTTAAGTATGTAAGTGATGGGGATAGGAAGGGGAAAAAAGATTGTGCGCGGTCCGCGGCCCGTTTGTTAGGGTATATTCCGGCATTTAGATATTGATCAGAGAAACCATGGAAAATACAGACCACAATTGTCGCTAGAAATCTCTTACATAACGCGCTGTAGCGGCTGAATTCGACCTAGTTATGCAAGCAGTGTCGAAAATCCTGCCATCGTCGGAGAGTGGCGGCTCGTGAACTAATATTCGGGGTTGGCTAAATAATACTGTGACGTCTACAATTCTCCTCATAATTTGCCTGTTTTTATCCACTTTCTTATTATGTTGCTCTGAATTCAGTAACTTCTTGTAATTCAAAAATCGGATTCGCTTTTCCCCCCAGGCGTTTAAAACTCACTGAATTACATACGTAATTATTTTTGACATATTTTTATGTTTTTGTGCAGCTTTTGATAAATTTTTCATGTCAAAATATCCATCTCTATTCCAAGGACTCTCCTTAATTGACAATAATAGACTCGGCCAACATCAACGCTTTAGGTTTAATTTCACTACATGTTAGCCGTTTATGTGAGTCATACCACGAATGATAGGATTTTCTTGCATTTTTCTCACCAGTTCGATGCACAGTCGTAATCAACACAGAAGTACAAGGTCGACCAATTGTCTAAAATTTGACCGTTATCTACATCGTTGAGTCGAGAACACAGTGTTCGTGGTAATGTATTCATTGTATGTCATAATATTAATTTAGAATCTGATTCAAATATAATACTAGTGGTGCTATAACAGCATGCATTTTCTCGCGTTAATTTTAAATTTGCTATTTTAGAAAATTTAGAGACTTCAACGAAAATGAAGTCCGCGCTATTGTATTTATGATTCTATCCGTGGGAAAAAATTGGAGCGGCTTTTGAGAAAATGTTTTTTGTTTTTTTTTTATAAATTGCATTAATTCCAAGCCCAAATTTCGCGAAAACTCTACTTAAAAAAATAATAATAATAAGTTCATGACTTTTTAAAGAGTTGATCTTTTGGAACACACTTTGCCAAAGGCAAAAATGTCTATCTTCAATTTTCTTGTTTTGAAATGTTAAGTTATTGCGATTTTGAAACAGTTCACCGAAAATGGGCTTGCACCATATTTTTTATCGTCCTTGGATAAATACGAGTTAAAAATCAACAACCACAAAAAAGAATGTTAGAAAAAAATAGTTAAAAATTTAAAAATGTCTATATTTCGCGGAAAAGTCCGCGAAAACTACTAAAATTCTTGAAAAATTATACATGATTTCATTTTAAGGTTTGCATTTAAGGAACAGATTTTATGAAGGAAAAAAATAGTATGGCTCTCTGAAGGCGCCCCAAAAATTGTTCTTTTGCAATTTTCGAAAAATATGAAATATCAATGAACATGAGATCTCCACCATTCTCTTCAGCGTCTTTTACGCTATCCGAGGACAAAGTTTAATCAACATATTTGGTGCCATTTTTGAGAAAATATTGAAAATGTTTTGATGCTTTATGTAAAGTAGAGTAAATCAAACCATCCGCTTGAAACTCCAGTAGTTTCGAGTTCGTTCAGACCGATTGGAGAAAATCGGCTGAACGGTTAATCGCTAGCGTTGACCACAGTTGCCGACTGAGACTTTTTCGGTGTCAAGGACCCGCAAAACCATAATACTTTTCAGAATAATAATACTTGCACCATATTAAAATTATAAGAGTACGTATTATTATTATTATTATTATTATTATTATTATTATTATTATTATTATTATTATTATTATTAAATGAATAAGTGTAATATGAACTAGTACATATTCATCACTCAGGTAGGCAATGCCAACCTTGCCTACCCCGGGAGCCGCCACTGCCGTCAGGACTCGTACTCTAGGACCTCCCAGTCAGACACCAGTTGATGCCCTGAGCCACCTATAAGTCGGTCTCCTTTGTCTACACCAACACCTAAAATGTTCAGATGATTTTCGTCAAAAGTGATGTCTCCCGATTGATCTGACCGAACTCGAGTTTGAAGTCGTGTATTTCGATTTTTAGCGGTACTTTACATGAAAGCGTTTACATTTTTAAAACATCTCAAAAAGACTCAATTTTTTGTTATTAAACATTCTCCTTGGGCAGCATAAAGAACGCTTAAAGAACTGCACAGGTCTCATTTCCTTTGAAATTTCTGAATTTATAAAAATGGCAATAGTTCAAGATTTTTTCGGTGTCTTCCAATGACTATAATATTGAAGATACGAATTTTTCTTAAATGAATCTAAAAAAAAAAAAGATATTTAAACAGTATCATTTACAATTTGTTTGAAAAAACGAGTTGTTTTCATCAAATATGTGCTTGAAGTTAATGCAATTTGTATTTTTTTTTCCTCATTCACAGTTCCAAATTTTCTCCTTGTACCAAAGGATGGTAAAAAATGGTGCTAGTGCTTTTTTGGTAAACTCTCAGGATTATTAAAAATTGCAAAAAATTAACATTGCAAAAGTACAGTATTGATGATAGAGATTTTTTCTTTAATAAAATATATTCTCAAAAATTAAATCTTAAAAGAAAGTCATGTACAATGTTTTGAAAAAAATGGATATTTTTCGCATTATTTCAATTTGAACTTAATGTAATTAAATTTGTTTTTTTTTTTTTTTAACGTCTTGAACTTTTTTCTTAAAATCTTATCCACAATTAGAGTAAAAGTCATTTGAAAAATTGCACAGGTCTCACTTTCTTTGAAACCACTTGTTTTTAAGGGTCAGGAAAGTTGAGATTAGCCTTGCTACTGATTGTGAAGGAATAATATGCCTGACATGTTAACGTGGAGAACCTGAGGTTGAATCTCAGCGCAGATGTAAATTTTTTCCTGTTTGTATATACAGGTTTATGTAATAGTATATTATTGCATAGCCTTTACAAATAATGCAAAAAAGTGTGTACTGCTATACATGTATGTATGAATGAATAAATGTAATTTTGTGTTATATATTCCCAAAACATTATATGTTAAATGGGGTTAAGTTCAATCTGGGTGTATTACAATCAGAATTTGTGCACCTGCCAAACACTAGTGCGTGATGAGTACCTACCAATCAGAGACCTGCTCTCAAGAAAGCTGTTGTGTAATTTTGTTATGAGATCTCACCATATTGGCAAAATGGATAAATTCTGAATCAATCTTTGACAGCACTAAACATGTTAAAAAATCTAGCCAGGCTTCATTAAACCATAGTTTGTATATCTTTGCAGGAAAATGAACGAACTGAGATGCTGGAACAGTTCCGAGGTCTCAGTGTGGAAGCAACACTTTTGGAAAGTAATAATCACAGTCTTGAATCGGAAGCAGCAGAAAACAAACATCAGTTGCATGTTGCAGAGGAGCGAATTACAGATTTGGAACAACAATTGGAAACACGAGATAGTTTAGTTCAGTCTTATGAGAATCAGGTAATTGTTTTATCTAATGAATAAAAAAACTGGTGATTATAATTTTCTTCTAAATTTGAATATTCAGTTTGTTTTGTTTTTAATATATTTTTATTACTTTTAGGGTATTGTGTTTATATATTTTGGATGTCAGAAATGATAGTTACTATTTTTCTCAAGTAAATGTTTTACATGTGTCCACCTATAATTTAGTCTTGTTTAGTAAATAAGTTGTGTAAAGAGGGTCTCTTATATAAACTTTGTATGTTATTTTACAGTTTACTTAATTGATTTTCCATCTCAAATTTATTTTTCTGCTACCTTTAAACCTAACTGCTGAAACATAGTGAAATGGGGTTGGTGTGTGTGTGTGTGTGTGTGTATGTGAATGTGTACATGTACATGTACAAGTGTGTGTGTGGGAATGTATGTGAAGAACTGTCTTCCAGCCACTCTAAATCCATTATAAGATTTGATTGGTAATATTCTGTGTCCATAATATGCTTTTAAACACTAAAATTAATTTTTGTTTTACATATTTTCTGTTTTTTCTGCCATACAAAAAATAAATACATGGACACATTTTGCTTTTTTATTACAATAAATTCCTCCTGTTCATTAACAACAATATGGTTAGGTGTTTTCTAATGAGGGAGTATTTAAATTCATACTTTAGTGTAGAGTTTTAATAAATCTTTTGAAAATAAAGTCTTTAATGGCTGAGTAATGATACTGATACATTCACTTAACAGTTAGAGGAGATGAAAATGAAAATATTTTAGAATATTCACCTACTTAAAAAATCCAACTGAAAGAAAACATATTCAGATGCACAAATAGCATTAATATTTTTGTAATTGTTCTCTTCTGTCATGTTCTTCACCTGTGATTTTTGCAAAATTTGGCCATTTTTCCCTTAATAGTACCCCCTTGATTGTACTCTCTTCAGTATGATGCCCCAGCGGAGAAACTTTCCTGGTTTGCTGTACTATCTAAAAAATCAGTTTAGTTTAATGTTCTTGGGCTGAGAAAAGTCTTTCAACAAATGTTTTAATATGGTCATTTTAAAAAAAGAATGTTTTATTCTATCGTTTTAACAGTTTTGTGTTCATAAATTCACATCTTTTTTCCATCAAAATCTTAAAACAAGTTAATTTGCCATATTTGGCACTCTTATGTCTATTGAAGGGGGTTATAAAATTTTCACAGGAACAATCAGTACATTTATTTTCATATTTTCACTTTCATTATACTTTCTTTTTAATTTCTCTCAAAACTCTAGGAATGTTAGTGGATGAAGAAATTTTATGTCCAGAACTTGAAAATAAATCATGAATATATGAACTTATAATGTGTATTTTAAAAAAAATACTTTCAAAAACAATTAAAAAAATGTCTTTAAAATTGAATGTGTTCATTAAATCATATGAAAGATTTTCAAATTAAAATACTATTGAATTGAAATACTATTTTTTCTAATTAAAAAATTGTAATTACCCATTCTTCTCATGTGCCTCTGTGCAGGTAGTGGGAAAGTGAAAATATAGATTGCTACATGTCCTTTTCTGAGAATTACTGAAAAATTAATATATCTAAATTAAGGAGGATTTCTATTGCATTTTAAAACTGATAGTTTGCTTAGATTGCAGAACTTAGTGGCAGTATTGCAAGTTTGGAAACTCAACTTCAACAATTCATGGATAACAGGCAGAAGACAGACGCAGACCTGGATGCATTGCGTGATTTGTGTGTTAAGTTAGATAGCCAAAAGGAATTATTACAACAAGAGTTAAACAAACAGGATGTTGTTAAAATACAGGTCAGTTAAAAAAAAAATTCTCCTTTTTAAATATCCTGATTTTGAACATCATTTTTTCTGATAAGATAGTTTAGTAAATGTCATGTGTTAAGTATATTTTGTTAATAAAACAAATCAAAATGTCAAGTAATTTTGGTTATAGGAAATGAAGTTTCCTTATAATACATAGTTATAGATTCTTTATATAGTTTTCTTATAATATATTTCTATATATTAGTTTACAATATGAGAATGCATATGTGAATTGTAAGAATATAATAGTATATGTTTTGTTAGTGGGAAAGTGATATGTCTCGCCTGCAAGATGAACAGGAACTGTTGCAAGAACAGCTCTCTAAAGATCGTGCTAATATAGCGTCTCTGGAAAATATGCTAGCCTCTTCTCGACAAGAGACTGCTGAGCAGAGGCATCAAAATGAGCAATTGAAAGCAGATGTGGAACGCCTGCAATTGAGAGTTGATACCCTACAATCTAAATTGTTAGTCTGCATCATTTATGTTATCTGTTATATTTATGAGTGAATAGTATTCATTTCATATTTCTTCTTTCGTTTTCTTGTTCTGTTTCCTTAGAGATGCAGAGACTGAAGAACTACACAGGTATCAATATCAAGCAAATGAATACTCCAAACAAATAAAAGATTTGCAAAGACAGATTACAAATGAGAGGTTTGAACGAGCTAGAACTACTGAAGAAACGCGAAGGTTAGAAAATATATATCATGCTTTATATCCACCAATCTTGTTTTGTTATTGATATTTTGAATTTTTTATTTAGTTACGGTTGCTCCTTTCTTTCTTTTTCATTCACTGTTGTTATTGTTTGAGGCTTTTAACTTTCCGATGAAAGCTATATGGTGTGCCATAAATCAAATATGCTACATTTCAGTTGTTTCAAACCCAAGATTTAAAGCCATTACATTGATAAATTTAAAGAAAAATAATTGGAATGCAAGTGATTAAAATTATGCATTTTTTTAAATTCGCATTATCCTTTTCTTGTCTGTAGAGTTCCTGACACCTGTTGCCCTGCTCCTGGAAACCTCCCTCACCCTCCAAGTCCTGCAGGCATATCTGCAGTGCACGGCTGCGCATCCTCACCTCCTCATCTCCATCCCACTAAAACCCCACAACCTGATGATTGGAATAGGAAATGTGCACATGTCCCCCAGTCTGCCCCATCCACAGGGTACACTAGAAGGAGACCTATGTACATGACCCCACCCCCATCAACTGACTGGGGAGCTTTTAAAGCCTCTCTCCATCCCAGGGGGGCACCCCCTTCTTACACCACTGAACCGTGCGGCTTACAGTCTTGTTTACCTTGCACCAGAGCTTCATGCCCTTACATACAACAATCCAGACCCATATACATGACTGCTCCTCGTTCTCATGCCCCTCTGGTGGGTCCTCCTCCTGAATCAGGCTTCTATGTATGCAATTCAGGCTGTCCCTTCAATCACGTGGCACGACCAGTGCATCAACCTCGGGGGGTACATGTAAATGTGCATGCATCAGCAAGTGGTAATCCACCCCCGCAAACAACTATTCACCTTACAAGTGAAAAGTCAGCCAAGGGAGACATCACTAATAAGTGTTGTCCCTGTCCTGTTTCACCCGGGGCCCATGCACAGCAAACAGATAGAGAAATGTCTGACAATATTGAACTTGCCCCTGAAAGTGAACCTGTGTCCAGTGATCCTTCTGGGGAGGGCGAAATTCTAAATCCTCTCACTTGTGCAAGGTGAGATGTTTTGTCTTTTGAGTGTTTACAACTTCGGAATTTTCTCAATAGAATATATTTATCATTTTACTTTTTTATATAGACAGTATTGTTCTTGAAACACGTATTTAGTAATTCTTAATTTTTATTTATGAAGTATTGAATATTCATTCTAAGGTAGTTGTTTCTTACTGCATGCATTTACTCAAAATATAGTAACAAAATGATAACATTATGAAGTACCAAAGTATTGATATTTTCAAAATTTGTACTGTAAAATTTCAAATGACATCAAATTCAAAGAAGTTTTAAAAAAAGTTGAATTACACTATTAATGTTATTGACACTAATATATTAGCTGTTATTTTTTAATTTATTCTTTCCTGGAATAACCATGCTCAATTACATCAAAATCTTTGATTTAATTTTAATTAATTAAATTTAATTCAGCGATTAGTTGTAAAATTTGCAGATTTTTTCACCAATTTGAATTTTATAAAATCATCATATTTCTTTTATTAAAAACAAAACAATTGCTATATTAATTTCATTTATGCACTGGCAAAGGTACAAACTTTCAAAAGGGCCAAGTATTTTGCTTCTTCACCAAGTACATGTAATTCTTACACTATCCTTAAATATTATTGAAAAGATTGCAGTAGTTACCTTACATATTTAAAGTTATGGATAAAATTATTCAAATCAACCTTTTTTCTTACCAGTCATATGACAAATTTATTCCCATTGTGCATTATATGCCTCATTTTTTTCCAGCATGTGATGAAGTGGCACATACTTGCTCTTCTCAGCAATATTTGTAAGTTGTCGTAAACCATAATGCACTTCTTGTCAACATAATATTCAATTATTCTCATACTTTATGAATCATTTTCAATATTTTTTATACTTTTATATATAAATACAGTGCATTTTGCTAAATTAAAAAAAAATGGTGTGTTCCAATTTCAGATAAATAAAAGCTTGAAGCCAAACATTTTTATTTGACATAAGTGGAAGATTTTTGTTTTCTAATGACTATTAGTTCAGTAGAGATGACTTGCACATTAGCAATGTAAGTGATTATAAGGAATATTTTGTTTTCAGATTTCTGGAACTTTGTAACAAAAATTATAAATTTGCCCCTCCTTTTATTACGAGTTCATTTTAAAACTTCTTGTCAGTTGTCATTCTTTATTTGCTATAATCCTTGTATAAATCTGTTAATGCCGAAATTCAGAACATAAATTGATACCCTCAGCACAATTATGTAATCTTCCACAGCCCACATGTAAACAGCAACTACATTTAACAAGAGAGTTAACATTTCACGTCTTGCAGTGATATATGTAATGTGTGCATTTTGTCTCAATCAGATATTCTGTCAATGAGTTTTGAGTATCCAGCGTAAGACAAAAATTACTGGTGCTCTTCATTGATTGAATTATATTTTTTCTTATTACTTTGCCAGTCATTCTGTTTTATAAAATATGAACTTGTACAAAAGGTGCCATATTCATTATTGTAATATTATTGCACCTTTTAGTTACAGTACAACACTATGAAGTGGCTTCCATCAGTTTATGGCTGCTGAAAGGATACAGTTCCAAACTCAAAATATTTTATCTATTCAACATCTAAGCAAAATTTTTTTGCTCAGAGGACAAAGTGAAGAGAGGCAGATGGAATCGCTTCAAGAAAGTGCAAGAGCTGATCAAACACAAACTGTATTCATGTAAAATAGCTAGTCAGTTGTCATCACTACAGAAAAGCATCTGAACGAAAGTGTGGGTTCCTATAGTCAGATCATATAGATAGAACTATTTTGTGTCTGAAGAATGGTCAAAGTGAAAAACACATTGCATCTGAAGAGATAGGAGAGAAGAATGGTTGAATGCTATCACTGCAAGACAAAAGGAAGGCTTAATAGCAATGACATTCTAACAAGAAAATCAAATGCTAGTGAAGTATTGAACAGATATCCAGTGCCTTAGGAGAAACTGAGATGAAACCATGGCACTTGATATGACAGTGATATTATCTTAAAGCAATTCACTTCACAATTTATAGAACAGTGGGTCAATTTTGGAACCCCAATATTAATATTTATCTGTAATTCTTTTTATTTATAACATTATTACTGTACAGGTGTACATTCTTGTAATTAATATTTATGTAAATGCAGGTACAACATGAATTGCACAAATATTAAACAGTGCTAAGAGCAATTTTTTAATGAAATAAAATAATGTATAAAAATAGATAATACAAATATATTATATTATACATTTCTGTACAGCAGAGAACTTTATTTAATTTACACAGTAACATTGTGTAAGGCATAACATGTGGCAGTTACAATTTTTTTAAAAACAACATTGTCAATTACCGCATTATAAATCACCAAGTTTCATCACTCTTATTTTCTCCTGCAGATATAATACCACTGCTTAGATCATGGCTGCTCCCCAGTGAGCTAGGTAAAGAAGGAGACTTGGAGGGCTGATCAGATCCTTCTGGAACTTTGGATTGCTGCTCGTCTGTGCCTGCAAATGACATTTCATGTTCATTCGGAAGAGCAGAAACATCTTGCTCTGTCTCAATTGCAGACTGAATGCTTTCTTTCCCAGGGGTATTTTTGGTCTTTATTTCATCTGTGCTAGTCTTTGTAATATCTTGAACTTCCTGAGCACCATTTGCATTGGTATCTTGCCTACAATCTTCTTGATCTTTTATGACCACGTCCAGTTCTCTACATTCTTCTACATTTTGAGATGCTTCCATTCCAGATTTAGATATTGTTTTTGCTGAATTGCTGGGTTTTAAAGAATTGTTTTCTGGATAATTTTCAGGCTTATTTCTAGCAATATTTTCCTTATCCCCCTTTGAAGATAATACACTCTTTTCTTCTGAAGGGGTTTTTGATCTGATTTTTGAATCCTTGTTGAGTGGAAATATTTTCGTCTGGGATAATTTGAGTTGACTTTTATCAGATACCACTGGTGACTCGTTCTCTCTTTTTGGAAGCTGCAAATTATCAAAAGATTTTGAAGTTTCCAAAATCAGTTTTGGATGCAAAGTGGCAGGTTCATCTAACTCGGTACATGATTTTGTGCTATGCAACTCAGGTTCTTCATTTCGTTCTACAATGGTAGAAACCCGTAAAGGAGAAGACAATAAGCGTTCCCCAACATTTTCATCTGAAGCACTTTGTAAGGAAATGTGTTCCAAGAGACCAGAGTGGTGAGAGTTCCTGGTAGCAGCTGAATTCATGTGGTGGTTTAAAAATTCATTATTTTCCACTCCCTGTGTTTGGGAATGTTGATTTTCTTGATGTAAGAAGACAATAGGTGTTTCACTCTCATTCTGCAAGTTTGGCCCCTCCGTTTGCCTTTCATTTTCCAAAGTTGGAACTGTCATATGAGGTACTGAAGACGTAAATGACGGTAACTCTTGTTGCCATCTTGAATTCCTATTCTGCTGTCGAGAGTTTGCTGATTGAAAGGATTCTCTTTCTCCAGAGTATCTTGATGTTCCTCTCAAACTAAAGCCTGCTGGCAATCTCAGTTCACCTCTTGTACTTCCACTAGCTGGTGCAGTCTGTGCATCATTTTGCACTCGTACTGAAGAAATCGGTGGACCATGCATCATTGATGTTGTAACAGCTCCTCCCAGAGAGCTCTGGGGGCGAGCAGAAAAGATCTCTGTGGGCACTGAATATAAAGAAGTGACTGCAGGGCTGTTGTGAGCTTGACTGGTGGTAAAAGAAAATGACTGCCTAACTTGATCATTTGTTCTGTGGGAAGGAAAGAAAGGAAAAGGTTGCAATATTCCAGTTTGGAGAAGCGTAGTAGATGGAAACTGATTTAATAAACCCACACGTGCAGCGTATGACCTACTTCGATTGTAATTTGTTGGAAAAGAAAACATTGGAGTATTCTGAGGAGCACTTCTAGTAGACACATTTTGAGGTGTAGGCAAAGTAAAATTTGCAGCATAATCACGAGACAAAGACACAGGCGGAAACAAAATTGATGCAGTATTTGTTAAGCTGTCTGCATTACGCAGTCTAAACTCTTGATAGCTTCGATCAATGGCTGCTGTCTCCTCTTCCAACCTTCGCAATCTCCGTCTTGCTTCTCTTAACATTTCCTCAGTTGGGCTTGGACAAGACTCATCAGAACTTGAAACACTATGGACCATAAGTCTGCGAGGTGGCTTTCTACGCTGACCTGGAGATGAATAAAGGGGAACAAAGGTTTCTGGAGGTAATCGTCGTGAAAAGTATGATTCCTCGCCAGCTCCAACTTGGCTAGATCGCACAAAACCTCTCGCTGGAGGCCTTGCTTCTGGCACCAAGCGAGGTTGAGGTTGAAGTAGTGGTTGTGGTTGTGGTGGTGCTGGTGGAGGTGTCTGCAAAATATGGGAAGTAACAGATGCTTATGAAAGAGTTATGTTTCCAAGTCATGAATGAAACCCCAAAATATATATTACAAATGAAAGTTCATTTCAAAGAATTAGAAAATCAACTGAATATTTAAAAAAGAGGGGGAATACAAAATTTTAAATTAACGAGAAAATATCATCTGAAAAGTTCTTCAAAATATTAATAGAAAGATTTTTTTTTTCTTTTTTCATTTTAGCAAAAACGAAAAGGTAATCATGATAAAGTAAATCAGGAACTCTTCTAAGGCTACATTTAAGAATTAATTTACACATAAATCATAATTAATAATTAAAAATTTCAGACAAAATTAGAGCTCTATGCAGTGGCACTTGTCACACATGAGTATCAAATTATCAATTTCTTTTGTTTCTATGAAAGAAATAAAATTTAAAAAAAACGATTGCTTGATTGCATGGCAAATTTACATTCATCGCTCTATAATTTTGTATTCTTCGGTTTTTACAATTTTAAATACAAAACTCAAAAAACCTACCACAAACGTAAACTAATTGAAATTGTGGGGTCAATCGATAATGCCTTCCACAATTTTCATCCAAAGTGGTGTTCTGCCCCCTCCTATCTCAGTGTGTTTTCTTTATAACGGTGTACAGAGATTTGAATTCATCACCTTCTGTCACATCAAAATGTTTTCATCACCTAGGGCTTTATTTCACTGTAATTCAAAATATCTGTCAGTGGACTTCAAAAGTAGAAAATCTCCTTCAAAACAAAAAGATTATCAATTTGTGACGATTTTACCAAAATTGTTTACAGTGTTCTTTATGACTGCTTCAAGGTGAAAAAATTTTAATGGTTGTTTGGCTACGTCATGTTTTTGACCCTTCTATGCAATGTTACTGAATTACACACTTCTGTGTTGAACAGAATCAAACACACCACCCCAATTTCAATCTTTTCTTGTTTTGACGAGAAATTGTCCTTACAAAGCCTGGTAACAGATTTTAAAATTTAGTGATTTTATTATTATTATTATTATTATTATTATTATTATTATTATTATTATTATTATTATTATTATTATTATTGTTGTTGTTGTTGTTGTTGTTGTCATTGTCATTATTAGTAGTATTAGTATTAGCGTATGTGCAACCTCTGACCACGCAACACATTTCTTTCTCCGAGGTCCAGTGGTTTAGTGATTTATTATTTACAGCAAGCTCTAAAGTCAATTTTCACCAACACTACTCTAAAGAGAATTATTCATCTTTTAAAGGAAAAAAGTATCAATTTGAAAAGAAAATTGTGGTAGGCATGATCATTAGAATTTCTCTCTTTTAATTTAATGGTGAGATCAAACGCATGATGTCTGTACAAAAAAAATTTACCAACTGTTCCAAAAGCCAACAAATCCAGGAGCATTGTGTTAAATATTTAAATAACTAATTGTACAAATACATCTCAAGGGCAAAGTGTTCTCCCACAAATGCTTATAGTCAACTACATTTACGAATTCCAAATGTCAAAGACAGATTAACAAACTCACATGGTAACCATAAGCTCCAAGAGCCAGCCCAGGGACAGAGTCCATGACTGGGACAGCAGGAGGAACAGCTGCTGCTAGGGTTGCTACAGGCAATGGTATTGGACTGTCAGGAGAGGAACGTGGACTTGTCTGCACAGCATGATGGTCACGTTCAGCTGGTACTGGTTGATGTCTCAATCTTGTAATAGTGCCATGAGCGTGTCGTAATTGCTCCATTAATTCAGAAGCCTGGGTTGTTAACTCTTGTATTCTAAGTCTTTGCTGTTCAATATGACCTCTTAATTCCAAATTTTCTTGCTGAAGTTCATCAACTAGATTTCCAAACATTGCATGTTGAGACCGCTGCCGTTCCGCCTCCTGCAACATTAGTTTCAAAAGAAAGTCTAATACTAAACATTTCAGAGTCTTGAAAGACAAACAAAAAACAACAACAACAATACCATAAAGTTTCCTATTGAAATTTATAAAGTTAAAGTAAGTTTGTTTTAAAAATAATGGTTTTCATTAAATTGGGACATTCTTTTTCACCCTTGTTTTTTCACCCCCCACAATGTAATATTTCTGGGCAGAAGGGTCTGATCAATGTACTTAATACACTGCGTAAGGAACTTCTTACCCAACAAACATTAAAAATAATTCTTAATTGAAAAATAAATATACTATTTTGAAAAAGTCAAAATATTTATCTGATTTGACACTTTAACCTAGAACATTAATACACTTATGATCCCAAATGTTTTGTGAAATTGAGTTATTAGCAATAAATATAACTTCAAATATTATTCTTTTAATGTAATATATTATTTAAATCCCATATGTACTTATATGCAAATGTACTGCATTTAAAAGTGTTCTAAGTTATATTATAAAAGTTCTAGTAAAACCCTCAATATCTCAGAACAAGGTAAGTGGGGATTGCCCTTCGTTCTATTAACCCTTCAATTACATGAAATTAGAGGACAGAAAGATAGTCAACCTGAAATTACATACTTATTCAAAAATAGGTATAAAGGTAAGAAATGTACTATGTATTAATATTTCTGTAGTATTGGATATCCTTCTGCATGTTCATATAATGTCCTGTAAAAATGTATGCCTATATTTTAATATATGCCCCCAACCATGACCCCCTCCTCTTCATGATAATTCCTAATACCAAAAAAATGTTGCTTTGGCAGAGGTGTGTTTGCACAAACATGCCTTGAAACTTGTAAGAACTTGTTTAATATCTCCCATTCCAAGTTCTGAACTCTTAACCTTTTGAAGTTTGTAACCCTCACATATCACAAAATCTCAGGTAGTCCAACAATTTTGAAATTTCCTTCAACAAAAAGGTATACCTAATCCACTTAATTATAAAGTAATTTTTTAATTTATTAAACAAATTATTTTTAATATACATAGTTAATAACATGAATATGTAAGAAACTAAACTTTATAATACCTCGCAATACATAAACTAATCAAAACTATTGTGTCTATGCTGATAATATAACAGCATTATCTGTTTGTATGAATATTTATAAAATACTAGGTACAGTCTCAATATGAAGAATATTCAAGTAAGTCATAATTACAAATTTATAAATTAATAAATGTTTAAAATTATTCGTGATCCTGAGTCACATGCCCAAGTTTAACAGACTTTCCATTTCTCGCAAAATTAAAATGTAGCCTTCACTTTAAGTCGTCAACTTTTTCATCAAATTTTCCCATGGAAAATATTTACATACCTCTATATGACTACAGTGTACCCCTGGGGGTATGTGTCGGAACCCCTGATCTAATCCAAGGAATGCAGAGGGTAAATAACTAGCGTGCCCAAACTTCTTATACTCTACAATTTCCTAAAGCAAACATTTAAATTTATTTAAAATCTGAAAAAGTGATGGAAAAATAATGGATAATTCTGAGAAAACAACATTGTACCTATTGATAGATTCATGTAACCACTGACCAAGACTCTTGAAACCTTTAGATAATAGAAGCAGTAATTATCTCAGCAGTTCATTATAAATCACTACACTAATATGCTGATCAAATCCATCAATCTAATGCACAAAAATGAAATGACATGGTCTTCTTAACAACCTATCCTTGATGACAATGAGCATTTGTTCAAGGAAAACCTCCTGGTCTTCTGTCATACTCAACTATTTTCATCGCAGATTTCATAGTTTTTGTTGTCTTATGATTTTTATATTTCTATTTACTAAAATATAATCTACTTACAGCATTCTGTTGTCGCAATTGTAGAAACACTTCTTCTAAATCAGTAACACTGATCTGTGTTTGCAGACATTGATTTTCTCGTGAAACTTTGCTTGTTTGCTGATAAACATTATGCTTCTTTGGCACAGCTCCCTTTTGTTTACTTACATCAACCTGAACACCTTGAGAGCACAACTCTGGCCTTTTCTTCCTGATAGATGTGTCTGATTTCTTTTTTGATGCTTCAGTTTTACTGTGTGTAGAATCTAATGGCAAATTGTGCTCTCTTTCTTGAGCCATTTTTAATTGTAAGTGGTGCTCCCTTTGTAACTCACGCAAGAGGGCAATTTCTGACTGTGAGTCCTTTATTGCTCTTGATGCTTCTTCGATTTGCAAGCGATTAGCATGAAGTTCTTTCTTCTCTAGCTCTCTAGCATTTGTCTCCGCTTCTAACCTTTAAAAAAAATTTGTTTTACTTACAATTGCCCCTAAATATTTTTGTTATTTTCAGCGAGAAATTTTTATGGGTATTAAAAATACAATTAATTACAATGTGATTTAATATTTTCATATCTAACAAACACAAAGAAGAAAAACAATTTTAGCTTAAGGAGTGATTAATAAATAACAGTAATACTGTGTTTAAAGTTACCCTAACATGCATGTGACCATTCTATTGCAACAAAATCATTTAGAAACAAAAAAATCATTATACCTTGAAAGTTGCTCTTCAAGGTTTTTCTCTTTTGCACTTAATTCTTCTTGCTTTTTTATTAAGTACTCTTCTGATTCTTTCCTCAAAACTTTTAGTTGTATTTCTTTGCGTTCTAACAGATCACTACATTCCTGCAAAACAGAATTCAGTTCATTCCTAAATATAAGTAAATTATGCTTTGATAATAAGCAACATTATTTTATTAAACCTGAATGTAGTTGAGTCGAGTGGCCACATCATGCTGTTGTTCCTGCAACTGTGATGCCAAAACAGAAAATTGGGCTTGCTTCTTATTCATTTCTTCTTTAAGTTTTAATCGTTCTTCATTTAATTTTTCTTCTGATTTCCGCTGCATTTCCTGTAATTCAGTGTCATGTTGATTCCACACTGCTTGTATTCGCTGTTCACGCTCAATCAATTCTTGATGATACTTTTCTTCTTCTTGTTTTTGGGCTTTCTGAACTTCCTCTTCGAGAACCCTACAAGATCAAATAAAAAAAATTGTTTAATGTTTTATGAAGATTAACAGAAATACTAAAATCATAAGTTATAAACTTCATTACCTTTTCACAGAATTGTGAATCAATAATATTTGTTCAGCTCCTAAATTTGATTGCTGTATAACAGTACGAACATCTTCAGTGAACAACAGAGACTGTTGTAAAGCAGCTTGTTGTTCGGCAACATTTTTGGGTTCCGGGCTTTCTGATCTAGTCACCCTTTTCCCAAAAGCATGATTTGAATTTGGAAGAGAACGAAGAAGACATGTCAACAGAGATTCTCCCTGAGAATGTTCATACATGTCATTAACTGCCCTGCTTTCTTCCGAATTTGATGCAAATCCTAGAGCCTCCAATATATCAAAAACATCTCTCTCATGAAAGCCAGGAAACACGTCATCTTGTAATGCATAATCTACCCCAGAGGTAGAATTACTGACAGCAGTTGAAAATTCTGGCAAATTTCTTAATAAAGGCACTTCACTGGTAAAAACTGACAAAGTATAATGGCATTGTTGTCGTAATAAAAATTCTGCCACTAATAAATTAATGGCTTGAAGTTTGGGGGATCCAGCCTGATGGAAAACGCCCGCAGAATGAATATTGAGGGATGTATCCCTCAAAGCCACTATCATCTGATGTCGTAGATGTGCTTGAAGATCAGACAAGAGTCCTCGATCTTGGAACCTGAAAATTTAAGTATTCTCACAATAATTCATATTGAATCTTTTCACCCTAAATATGACACATTCATCTACAAAACTACCACCACTTTGGGTTAGAACTTACCAATTAAGCAGCTGCTTTTGAAATTCATCAGCAGATAATGCATTGTGGCTTGTATCTTTGGATGTTAACGGTTTACGGGCCATGGCTGGATCCTGGCATTATGGTTAACTACATCCTTGTTTGAAGATCATGCTAAAATTATTCCACGATCATGTCCGTATTTTTAAACGGTAGCACCAAAATTTTGTTTACGCGTTGAACGCACAGAATGCCCTGGCGTGTGCTGCACTCTGTTATTAGTACCTATCTATGGTCGATTCGATTTTGTTTTTAATTGAGAAATACCTAATAATTGGAATTTTGTGAAAGAATATATACTACTAATTTAAAAAGAAGAATACGAACGTTCAAAAAACAACTTTTTTCCGAGTGAAATGTCAACACATGTACCAAAGAATGTACTACATATTGATAATTGTGTGAGAAGAAGATGGACTGTCCCTGTGGCGCAGAGGATAGCGCGTTGGACTTCTAATCCAAAGGTCGTGGGTTCGATCCCCACCAGGGATGCAGTCAAATTTTTGTTCTGCTTTTTAGTGCTTCCTTTTAATTCGCGAGTTATCTTCAAGGATTAATTTTACAATAAAATGGCACTGGAGTATAGTTACAGAATATTCTCCCACGCCAATTCTTACCCTTACTGAACAGTTTTTTTGAAAATCTATACTCTTATTACTACTCTTAATTAAATATTCTTATTAAATTACTTTATTGGTGAAGTTAAACAAATTATCTTAAATCAAAATTAATCAGTTATAACAAGATAATATTTATTATAAGTATACCTAATCAACTTTATCAACAAATTTTCTTTTAAAAAAAATTATACTGTAAAATTAATTCTTTATACAGAATTAAATATCCATGAGCTTATTAAATATTTAGTGTATTCATCATTAGTAGTAGAATTACAATGTCTCTGATATTAGTCAGGTATAAATATCATATGTATGAATCATTGAATCACATCAGAAGTAAATGGTTTAGACAGAATATTCAATTTTAAGAAATGTTTAATTATTTTATCAAGGGGCAATTTTAAAAAAAATTTAAATTATCGAGAAAAGTTGGGGTGAGAAGGGCTCTGTATCAGGGGAGCATTGATAGTGAAACTATGGTCTGTAAAATCAAAAGGAACTTGTGAAAGATCTTGCACTTTTCCTTTTTTTATTTATTTCTTTACGTCAAAAACAGTTAAAAACTGTGTTTGATATGCTATGGGGACAAGTTACATCCTTTTTTCATTTTCATCCAAACTAGATGACCATCATTTTCTGAAGCAGTAAAAGCTGTACACAATATACACCACTCTTGATGAATGTCATTGATGAAATAAATAAACTGTAAAACAAGTCTTCAATAAATGATAAAATTAGAGAAGGCACTTTACCCTCTTGAAAGCTACATGTGTATCTTGTTTATTGTGTAATGTTCTGGTACATTTTGGAGAAAATAAATCATGTCAATAAATTTTTCCAAAAACCAAACAAAAAACCAAACAGCCTTACACAATTCTTGCTTAAATCTGCTTGACACATTCAGGGTTTCCTGAAATAATTGAATTCAGGGATACACATGTTAGAAATGCAAGCTCTGAAGCAAGGAATTTTGCCAAAAAGGTGGGTTAAATGAGAAAGAAAATATTTAAGAAATGAAAAAGCTGAGGCTTGATGTAGATGTAAGTTTTTATATATTAATTTCCCTGTATGTCTGAGATCTTTTAAAAAAGTCACATAACTTTGGTTGTTTGTAAATATTATAAACTATTCATTAAAACCAAAGTATTGACATTTGAAAAAGAACATTATCATGATCAGCATAACAAAATTAAGCAATAAATTTCAATCACCAAAGATTTTGTCTTATTTTATTACCTAGTGTAATGTATTAAAAACAGCAAGATAGCTTTGCTTCGATTTAAAAATAAACATTGCTCTCAAGGCAAGCTATCTCATTTTCATGGAAAAACAAATAACTTGTGTCAAAATGTTTGCACCAGTTCTCTCCTGTGAATGGTTCCTTTTGTAATAAAATGCAGGAAATTTTATAGTATAAAGGATCAGATTTGTTTTTGTGATTAGGGCATTGTGCATTAAGTTTGCTACTTTCTTCCATATTTTTACCCAAAGTTTGCTGTGGGCAGAACAGCAAGAATTCACCCCTCTCTAAAAGACACAAGGAAATCCCAATGGCAATGGTCTCTGAAACATTTTAAAAGGGGCCCTTTATCCATTTGAAATAAAACATTTATTTCAGTATGTCCAATCCTTGATTGTGTTGTTTTTTTATCCATAATTTTCGGAAAATGTTTTACATTTATGGAAGCATCTCTTCAAGCCTTCTAGCGGCAATACTGAACTAGTGGTGCTGCAACAGTGCATATTTTCTTGCATTATTTTCTTTTTTGTAAATTTCAAAAATTAAGGGAGATATGTTCCATTTTATAAAGAATCCCTTGCTCTACCAGGGGGGGAGGGTGAAGAAAACATTTGGAGCAGTTTTTGAAAAAATGTTTATTTTATAATTTGCATGAACTTCAAGAAGAAATTACACGAAAACTACTCTTAAAAAATACATGACTTCTTTACTTTCACATATACGTATGTACATATGAAGTATTATATGTAGTACAGAAAAAGTTATGAAATGCTGCGAAAAATCGACTTCGTGATTTCAACTGAACGTTTTGGGGGGCCCCACTGAAAAGGTGATTGTGTCTGTGTGTGTGTTTTCCCTTCAAAACATCTGTCTGTCCATCTGTTCTCCAGTCTGTCCATCTGCCTGTCTGTCCGTTCAATACTCCCCCGTCAATCTGACCCGTTTCGTGGCTCTATGATTTTGAAAAGCGTTTTAAATTTTGGAGATACTTGAAACCCTAGGACATTTTCAAAATTTTCTCAAAATTCCTCCAATTTTTTTCTTTAAATTTCTTCCAAGAATTGAGTGAAATACACGTATATAGATGGCATACATCGGATTTTCACTGTTACTTATACAAAACACAACTACAAAATTGAAGATAGAGATTGTTCCTTCAAATATGTTCGTCATCGTTAGTTCTTTCGTTAACGTCACACACAATCTTTTGAAAATTTTAGTAGTATTCGCAAACTTTTGAGTAAAATATTGACAATAAAAAAAAAGTACCCCAAACTGGAATTTCTAAACTACGTCTCCAAATGTTTTCTTTAACGCACTTTAGGAGAACCGATGCAATACGGAAAAGTTAAAATTTGTTGCATAGTGTAGTTCTTATCAGATTCTTATCGTGGAAGGAATTCTTGCGCTGTCCGCGGAGATTAATGAACGGCGCTCTACTGCAGATACAACCCACGTTATTGTGTCTGGCCGCTGGCATCCTCTGACCTTCACAATTCACAAACATCCTCTTAATTTTGTGTCTATTGAATGAGTTCCCTTTATAGTCGCTTTCCCCCTACAACGTAATCGTAGTGTCTATCAGGACAGGAAAGGTATAGGATGCCAGAAAAGGTGTCTAAAGATATGTGACATTGAACAAGAGTACAATAATAATAATAATAATAATAATAATAATAATAATAATAATAATAATAATAATAATAATAAAACCAAAACAACGTGATGGAGTCGTGAAAGATTACAGCAAAGATGCAAAGTGATAATGTTTTTGATTATTTAATGTATGATCCCTTGAAAGTTAAACACTTTCCTTCAAACTCGCGTGATTCATGGAGTAACTTCTTTAGTGTTGATGTACATAAGCGCCTATTGGTTTCCACGCAATTGGTTTTATGACTTTGGGTTTGTTTACAGGAGGCCTTGAAAGACTGATCCCGTAAACTAAATTATTGTAGCAGTGTGGACGATGTTCGGTTAACCAAATTTAACAATGTCTGAGGACATCAACCTAATGAGATATTTCATAAGTGGAGCATTTGGTGGTGTGTGTTCAGTAATAGTTGGTCATCCCTTTGACACAATTAAAGTGAGACTGCAAATTATGCCCAAAGTCCGACCCGGAGAGCAACCACTTTACACCGGATCTGTGGACTGTGTGAAGAAAACAGTAGCGACAGAAGGAATTCGAGGACTTTTTAAAGGTATGGGAGCGCGAATCGGGGTAGTAGTACCAATATTCGCAATACGATTTTTTTCATTTGGCTTCGCCAAAAAGGCGATGGCAGGATCGACGGATCATGAACTGACGCCACTTCAGCTATTTGCGGCAGGAGCCTTCGCTGGAACATTCACTACAATTGCAATGGCCCCGGGAGAGAGGATTAAATGCTTGCTTCAAACGCAGGGAATGAGAAAAGGTCCTCCGAAATACAGCGGCCCGTCTGACGTTGTGAAGAAACTGTACAAAAGCGGTGGCATACGGAGCGTGTACAAAGGGGCCGGTGCAACGTTGTTGCGCGACACCCCGGCAACGGGTATGTTCCTCATGACGTACGAGTGGCTGAAGAGGACGACCTCTCCCCAAAATGACCTGGACACCCCTAGAGGAATGGAGTTCACTAGTACCTTGGTGGCCGGAGGACTGGCCGGCTTTGGGTACTGGTTCGTGGCACTTCCCGCAGACGTCGTTAAGAGCAGAGTGCAATCCTCCGACATGGGGTTGTATTCCAAGGGTGTGAGGGATGCATTGCCCGAGATACTGAGGGAGGAAGGTGTCCGTGGTTTGTATAAGGGGCTAACCGTCGTTTTATTAAGGGCTTTCCCTGCCAATGCCGCTTGCTTCATAGGTTATGAATGTATAATGAAAGCGCCGAAAGTACTGGTTCCAGAGGTATGAATCTTTTATTTTATGAAATGGTTTTAGTATTGTATGTACCTTTTTTTATTTCTTTACCTAAATGTATAAGATCTTTTAATAAAATAGGTTAACAAACTCTCAATGGAGTGAGACATTAAAATTCTTTCCACTTTTCCACAATGTAGATCTAGCATAACTAGTTTCTTACGCCTACTCATATACACAGACTCACTTAACTAACTTAGCACAACACTTAATTAATAATATTTATAATAAAACACATCAAATGTTAAAAAAATATTGTTAACATAGAACAATGAATGAACGTGGTTTATTGATGGACACACATTTTTTATTAAATAGATTAGATTCAGTAAAAAAGTAATTCAATGTCAAGTGGTCTAAATTTGCGGAAATGTCTAACGTAACCATCTCGGATTTTGCTGACTCAAGGGAATTTTTGTGAAGTTGTAGCTTCATAGGTGAAATAGTTTTTTAGATGTAGCTTTTTGTTCGACCCAATGCTGCGACTATAACATTTTCACAATTTTGGGATACAATATTTCCTTCTCCGTTAGTGTTGAACAAATGAAACTATGCAGACTCGTAGAGATTTTTTCGTTCTGTTCAATATAATTTTATATTCATTATTATTTTTTAATTCATGTATTAATTTAATATTAATTTTGCCTATATTAACATACGCATGACAACAGAGTTGCAGCTAAAAATTAGAGTCCACAACAAATTGTAGATTTAACTTTGAATAGCGAACTTAAAATTTGTGTAAGAAAAGTGAAACGTAGTTCATAACATTGTTTATGATTGCAAATTTTCAACCTTTGCTGATAGGTTATACCATTACGTTTTAAATCAAGTTCAAAATTACTTCGGCAAAAAAAACCAAAATAAGATATTTTCAGCCTTCTTTTTCAGAAAATTGCCTTCTAGAATTTATTACAAACCAATCTCATTAGAAAGAGCAGATTTCGAAGCTTCTATAAAGTTAATTTAATTATCTTTCGGAGGTATACAGTGCCCAAAATAGGGTAAAATGTTCAACGGTGTCGACAAAAGAAAATTAGTATTTAATAAAAATTCTCGAGTTTATGGTTGTATGGTTTCCTCAATACTCAAGAAATACTCGTACAATCGACATTTATCCTTTAATATCTCAACATAACATTGTTTATTAATGCAATATTTCGACCTTTTAGCCCTAACCATAACCAATAAAAACTAAGTGTTAATTGATTTTTACAAAAAGTCCCAAAATGCTGTATTTCAACCCTTGTTTACAGAAAAATACTTTTAAAAAATTATATAAATCATCTAATTAAAAAGCACATTTCAAAGATCCTAGTATGTTGATTTCATCTGCCAACACTGGCATGTAATGTGTCAAGTTAGTGACAAATTTGGAATATATTGCCATTGCTGCGGATTGTATTTAAGGATCAAACATCATCATTGGGTGACCGCCCGGGAAATCCGGGGTGGCGTTGGCGAGTCGTTGAACCGGGAGAGGTGGCTCAGGGCATCAACTGATGTCACTGCAGTTCCTCCAACCGGGAGGTCCTAGGTTCGAGTCCCAACGGAGGCAGGATTTTCAACATTAACTCGTTAGCTAGGTCGAATTCAATCGCCGTCTAGAATATTCAACAGCCGGCTGCTCTGGCCGGTAGTTTTCGGTGGTTTCTCCGATCAACACCAGGCGAATGCCAGAGCAGTACCCTAACAAACGGGCCACGGACTGCGCGCGTTCTGTCCTTCCTTGTCTTATCCTCACCCCCTTACCTACTCACACTTACACAAACATGCGCTATACTACCACACATACCGAAAGACCCATCAGGAGCTTAGAGCTTGTCCCGGCTGGGGCGGTGCCGCGCTGGTGAGAGATACTTGGTTGGGGAAAACCTCGCTAGCTGACGATAGATGGACGCCAGATCTCACCATACAGCGGGGAAGATCACGGCTGCTTCCCGAGCAAAAGCATGCACTACACTGACGGGACTGATGACCCAGGCAGTTGAAGTGACCGGGATCACTAAACAATCAGCAACGGACAATAGAATGCAGATGCAACGAGGGCAATCGTTACTATGTACTGATGAAACGAATGTGAAATAAAAAGGTTTGGGATAAACAATCTCTGAATTTACATTTCAATAGAAACGAAACGATGGCTTCCGGAAAATAACGAGGTCTCTCCGTCATCTATAGTTCTGCGGAGGCGCCAACGTACAGCCTACCGGCCGGGGCTGGAAGGCAAAATCTTCTCTTCCTTTGTGAGGAACAATCCCGTTTCGAAAGAGCTTCCTGAAATACTTGACACGCGCTGCCCGCCGCCCGCTCAAAGGAAGGAGGTCGCTCGCGTTGCCCGACAGGTCTCAGCTGCTGCCACAGCGCCGCGCCCGTCGCTTCGCTCAGCTCACATCACGCCTGCATCTTCACCAGAGCTCATTTGTTACATAGGTTTGTATGATATTGATAAAATTAATATTACTCACCTTTCTGTTTTTGTGAGATTGTATCTTTTCAATGACTTCACTAAAATGTATTAATTAATATTATTTTATTTTAAATTAAAAAGCTCTTCTACATTGCATATTTGATCAACGTTTCTAATTCAACATACACCAGTGGCTAAGATTCCGATAAACACGTTTTATAAACAAATTAAATTCATTTAAAATGTATATATTAAATATGTTCATAAGGCAATAAATCCATAGTACAATACTGTTACCGACGATATAAAATAATCAAAAAACTTCAATTTTCTAAATATCGACGATGAAAATGGAAATACCGATGTTAATAAAACAGAGCCAAAAACCATCGATGTTTTTTAAACCTTAACCATAACATTTAGTTAATATTACTATTCACGGGGTGAGGTAATTTGACTGTTGACGCGCTTATTAACAGAGAATTTAACT